TGATGAGGGCTCTTCTGTTTTCCTTTGTTCCCATTAAGGTTTTAACTGATGTTACATGTAAGAATGAAACTTTTGGGACACATAACACTCACCATGCATCAACTAAACCATTAGTAAGAGACCATGTGTCATGCTGTAAACTCAGCAAACACAAGTTTAAACTCCCCTTTCATTGAAGCTGAAGCTAATACATTTCATCCTGCGTTTCCAGGCAGTTATCTGGAACCAGCTTATACCCAGTTCTTTGATAACGTTTGCTAACTTGGTCATACTTGTTTTATTTGGAAATCTATTCAGCTGGATTAGTTTTATGATGGTGGAACAGATGGCTGGACAGGGCATTGCTGGGGTGTGACACAAAGCATGAAGAAGCACACAATTCTCAGAAAGTGGCAGCTTTAGGTAGCTCCTCAATATATTTTTTCTTTGTTTCCAACAGTTCTTCAGCTGCTGAGGAGTGGGTAGAAATCTAAATGGGAGCTAATAGCTCAAATTATGAAGTGAGTGAAAAACACAACACCCCTCGTTCAGGTCAGCAAGAACCTTAAAGTAATTTTTGTGTTCTCTGTGTATCCATGGAGCTTCCTACCTGGAAACGTCATTGCCATTACCAAGGAACCAAGGATAGGGGAAAGATGTGACCAAAGAATGGAAAAAACCAGCACCACCTACACGTAAGCCCCTAAGGCAGATGTGGATCAGCAGCTGCCCATACTCACGTGCCGGTACTCCAAGAGTGTTCCCAAAAACGGCAGAGGCCGTGGCCCGGGGATGCCCAACTTCTTGAAGGTCTGGTAGGGCCATATCCCATAGCTGCCGAGCAAAGCCAGTGTGTGAGATGCATTCACGTAACAAGAAGAGAAGGCTCTTCACTCTAAGCACAGTGAGCAGCTTACTTGGCTGCTTCTTGCCACACAGAAAAAGCTGAAATTATGGACAAGCAGCGACAGAACTGCTGAGGCTGCTCTGCTACTTCAAGAAACCCAAGACCATTTGGGGTACATCTCCATACAAGACAAGGGCTGATGACAGCTGCAGCCCAGCCTAGGCAGATGCAGACATCTCAGACCTTTGCTCAGGGGCTGCATCCCACTGCCCAGGTCAGACAACGGTGACTCAGGAGGCTGAAGGAAACCTCAGAGGGACCAAGATCCCAAGCTGAGACCTGCCCTTGGCTTTGCAGAGACCTGCTGTGAAGCCCAGGTGGAAGAGCCAGAGCAGCACAGCAGCCAAGCAGGGGCATAAATTAAAAGAGCCAAATTAAGTTTTTGCCTGCGTAGCTCACTACAGCTCCCATGAGTGCTGTAAGCAAAAGGGCAATTTTGCCAGCATAACTATTTAAGCAGGGGCTTCTGCTTGCAGTAGCAGGGCAGACTTTACTTGCTGCCTACTCCCAGCTTGCACAGCCCAGCCCTTTGCAACCAGGCAGTTTGCTGCAGCAAAAATAGAATTACTCCTCCCTTTGGCTCTGTGTGGCAAAGGAAAAACAACAAACGAAAGAAAGAAAGAAACAAAACAAAACACAGAGGTTCCTTTTAATCCTCCCAATCTTTTCTTGCTGACAGGGAGGCAGGCAATACTCTCTGACTTCCTCCAGCAAAGATTTCCTTCGTCCCACCCACCCCCTTTATCAGTCCTCATCTCAGCCTTGCAGGTAGCACAGGAAGAGTCAGGATTGTTTTTCTAACACTAATTAATGCACCAGGGCACTTCCTACTGAGTGTGATGCCCCTGTGAGCCCTGGCTGCCCACGCACAGGGACTTCTCCTCCCCAGGCACCCGTCGGGACCAGCCTCTACTCACAGAATCAGGAGGCTAAAGAAAATGATGAGGAGTGTCCAAGTGGCTAGGGAGAAGTCTGGCAAGAGATTCATCGTGCCTCCCAGCCTGACAGCACCTGACTCCTGCACCGCCCAGGCCTCGGTTTATGAGGTTTGGGGCTGACCTTCAGCTGCAGCCGCGCTCAGATGACGCGGAAGGAGGAGTTGTGCTGCCTCGGTTGCTCAGACTTTAACCCTTGGGCAGATTTGTCCCTGGATGGTGCCAATACCATGCCCAGCCCTGAAGGTTTTGTGATGTGAAACTGCTGAAGGTGCAATTTTCAGCAGGGGAAAAGGTAGCGAAGGGGGAAGACATCCATAAAACACCTTCCTGGGAGCGGCGAGGCTCGTGCAGGGAGCTGCCAGCTGCTCTCGCTGCAGCCACCTGCTGCTGGCAGTGCTCTCCGTGGCCCAGCTCACCCCCAGCTGTGCTTTCACCACGTCCATCGCTTTTATCAAGGGGTGTGATCAGGAGGGGCTAGGCAATGCTAGGAACTGCTAGGTTCCTAGACAGATTGCATAGGGCTGTGCCCCTGGGCCGGCAGCATTTTTTGCCTCTGCCCTACTGTTTGCAAAACAGGTCCAGGCTCACCTCCAGACCTGTACTGAAGAGCCAAGAAGCAACACTGACACCTTTCCTAGGAAGATATCTTGGACATGCCCAGCTTTGCATGGCCATGATGTGCTTGGTGATTTATGTAATCAGTGACAGATGGGAATCAATTAAGCAGTTTACATGGGTACGTGCCTGAGTTCTGCCCCCTAGCCTGCACTGAGCAGCCAAAACCCCATCAGCATGGGGCTACAACTGCCACGTGAAAGGAACCTTACTTCCCTTTTGCTGGGCTCTTACAAAGCACCTGGACCTGAGGAGGCCATGCTCAGGCACTCATCCTGTATCTTTGCATCCAAAAGCAGGTTCTCCCCACACGGGGTGATGCTGGGGACCTCCAGCAGGATGTCAGGGGCTGAAGTTTTAGAGGTGCTCGGGGGCAGATGTGTCCCTGTGAGGGCTGCAGGCACGGGTTAGCTGCCTTGCTTCCCTCACACAAAGCCTTTGATTTTCCAATTACCTCTGCTAATAACTGGTGTGATATCTCAGCAGGAGCTGGGTTTGTGGTTGGGTATTTTCTCCTCTCAGACAGAAACTGAGGCAAAGCCTCAGCAGAGAGAGAGGCTAGCCCCCCTTCTTGCTCCCTCAGAAAGTAAATAAACTGTGCAGAAGCTTCACACACAAGGAAATCACTCCTTTCATCCCAGATGGGTCTGGTGGGAGCAATTTACTCATCTGTAGGTGACTGGCAATCTAACAGACCAGCCAGGAGTAGGAGCAAACAAGATGCAGAGCCTGACAAACCCACGGTGCTGTCGTGCTGGGGCTGGCAGGTGACAGTGGCACCATCCTGACCACACCAGGAGCACATCCCCTCCCACCAGCAACCTCCCCACAACCTCATGGTGATGAAGGAACCACATGCAGGAGGGGAAAACACTCTGCTGCAGCTCTGGAGGTGTTCCTGCTGCTGGGCAGTGGAGGGTCACTATTGAAAGCCACATCCACTGGGCTCCGCACCTGGCTGCTGAACCTTTACAAAGTCTTTACTTACCCAATTTATATATATATATATATATATATATATATATATATATTTTCTTGCTCGTCTCCTGGAGCACTGTTCTGTCTCTGGCTTGACAGACTTTGAGAAAAATCACAGTCAATAAAAGTCATTTCTCCTCTGAGAAGATGCCCTTCATGGTCTTCTCAGCCCCTGACCACCCAAGTGCTGCTGTCTGACAAGAGAAGAATCAGAAAGAGAGGGAGGAATTTATCCCATCTTACTAAATTAGGTATTCCCCCCCAAATAGCCACCACCAGTCAGAGCTGCAGATCCTGAACACATCACATAATTTTATATGAAATGAGGGTATTAAAGCAATCCTGCTATACATAGACAGTGCTTTGGACCAGACACGATGGGGGAGCGTGTCCTTACTGAGGCTATTTCTGTAATGAGAATATCACTGAAATGGCACCCAGGAGGGAAGAAGCAGAGCAGAAGGCTCTCCGCAGGATGATTCTGGAAACATCTGAGGGCTTGGAGGGCACCCAGCGAGTGCCTGCACAAAGGCACAGTCCAGAGTCCTGCGGTACTGACCGGGGTGTGCCAGGTGCTTCCCACCTCAGGTGTGCAGCGAACAGGCTAAAACAAATGAAAAATAACTGCACTGAACTGATGTCAACTCTCTTAATTTTGAGTGATTCATAAAATTGTCCTTTTTTTTCCTCCTCTCCCAGCTCAGCTAATGGTTTCCTTAATAAGCAATATCTCCGCGAGAGCTGTTAACCCCAGCAGTAAGAGTCACGCTGGTGGCCAGCAGGCTCTTGGTGCACAGGGTCACAGAAGACACACGAGACAGGGATGGTTTGCAGCCACAGCCACATTCCCAGGGTTAACGGCGTGCGACCACAGAGGAACCAGCACGGTCCGAGCAGAGCCTCTTCCTCCAGGTCACGAGCAGCCGTGGCCTCAGCTCCCCTGACATCACCCTCATGCTGACACCAACACAGCGCTGCTGCTTCTCCCATCAATAAGAAAGCCCAAGGGCACTTGAGAAGCTTGTGAGAGCCCTGGCTGTCTGCAGGGAGCTGTAAAAAGGCTGTGCTGTCGTACCTCAGGGCGAGCAGGGGGAGCTCAGTGTGACCCTGTTCCCCAGGGCAGGGCAGCAAGGAAAGTATGGGTAATTCACAAGCTGCTGGTCACCACGCTTAACACAAACAGAAGGTGATTTGGGTGGTGATAGCTGGTTGCAGTCACCGGTATTGTCACAGCTGCAAAAATGGGCTTGTCACAGGAATGGCAATTCATCTTGGAGCATCAGGGAACTGATGGCTGAATTGATGGGGCATGGAAGATGCAGAACTTCAGAGGAACGGGGCTGACAAATGAAAATGCCCTTCTGCTTGTAAAAACTCCTGGAGACACAGAGGTTTGAAAACCACACAGTCTTTCCCTGAGGAGAGGTGATGTTACCACCACCCGGCTGGCAAAAACAGGACCGAGAAACACAAGGGGAAGTACAGTCCTGCATGGACACAGACCACTGGGCTGATGACCACCCCAAGCAGTATCATAGACCCCCAAGGTTTACATTTCTTCCACAAGCTAGGGGAAAAAACAAACAAACAAACAAACAAAAACACACACAAAAAAACAAACCATACTGTAACACACACCAGACTTCTAACAGACAAAGTATTTGCATTGACAAACAAACTGCCCTTCACTGACTGTCACACATTTAACAACTCTTTTCTTATGTTCCTCTCATCTCACTGTAGTCTTCTGCCTGAAGTCAAATTTCTGACCAGCTGTGCTCTCACACGAGCCTCCAGAAAGGCCTCAATGGGCAAGCACCACGCACACAACTCTTTACTCCGGTAACACCTCTGAAGGCTCCCGAAGCGTCAGCAGCTGAAACCCATCTCCCTTTCACTCCTCTGTAATTTCCTAGCAAAGACAGAAAATTACAACCCACAGCCGGCGCTCCACATAAAGCCAATTACAAGAAGCGTGGGGGTGGCAGTGCTCTCTGACACCAGCCCCGCCAAGGACGGTCCATCCTTCGCACGTCTCGTCTGGTGCGATGGAAGAGCTCTTCTCTGCACCGCAGCCTCCGTTAATGAAGTACACTCGACAGAGAACTATCCGAGGGTGAAGGGGCAACACCACATTCACAGTGACCTCAATTTGTGCCCAGCCGCTTCAAAATCATGAGCCCAGGCAGATAACAAACAAACAAATATGTAAATGAATCATGGAAGAGCCTTAACGACACCAGCTCAGAACATGCAACACCCAGCCTTTTCCACCACAGTCCCCTTAGCCCAAACCCACCCCATATCATGGGACACGTTAGGAACATGTGGTGATTGCAGAGCCAGGGTGCGTGCCCAGCCAGACCCGGCTCTCAGCAGGGCATTGAGGCCCATGGGCAGAGTTAGGCCCAAGGCTCCTGGGCTGCGGTGGCTCTTCCTAGAGCACACCACGACTGGTTGGGCAGCACGTACATGACAGGGCTGCTTGGCCCACAATTCATTCACTGCCAGCAGCTCCTTATCAGCGGGAGTTGGATGTGAGCCATATCCAAGAAGGCCAGGCACGATCCCTCCTGAGAAACCCAGCAGGCTCAGCTGGAGGCTTCTTGCTCGCCCCTGGCTGGAGGGTTTCTGCTGTAACTAAAAGCCAGCACTGGGCTGTCTGGGCTAAGCCTGACCTGCTCAGTGAAACACAGACATCTCCTCACCTTCTTAGTTTCTTCTGTGGTGGGGATCAGTGGAAGCACCTTCATCAATTGGGCTGGAAGGCTTTTGCCAAATGGAAGACTGAAAAGCTGAAACCTTCTTTTCCCGATCACTTGGTCACTTCCACGGTAGGTGGTTAAATGTTTCCTAATTTCCATCTGATTGCATGAGGTTGTATCCCAGAGGATAAGTTCTCCCAGACGATTAAGTCACAGTCCCACAAATCAGTCTGGAAATTTGCCCTGCTTCAACCCATATTTTCCACATTTCAGCTTCTCTGATTACTCTTAATTGCCCGTCTCCTCCCTGGCCCCTACCTCCAGGGTGTTTGTACCAATCAGATGTGCTTGTACGTACACAAAAAAAGAACCCAAGATTAAAAAAAAGTGTGTATTTACCAGTTGAGTCTTGTACTGCTGGAATTAATCTCTAATTAGGTCAGTCATGTTCCCCTGGTATGGTATGAGTGATAGCACTGGAAAACAAAGACAATTTATTGAGACCCAAAAATAACTCATCCTGCTGTTTCGTAAGAAAGATGGGTTTTCTTTGCCCTGCACCGAGGACGTTTGCAACTGAGGCCACTTGGACACGCAAACTGCGGCTTGGTCCCATAGGCAAAGCTGCCCTGTGCCTCAATTTCCTCCTGTTAAACAAAGAATATTAATCCTTTCCAGTCTGACAGGGTTGTGGTGAGGTCACCTGCGTTTGTAAGGCTTTTTATCACTCTTGGCACAAGGCCCCGGGCTATATTACACATGCCTTTTTTTTTTCAGGACCGCCTTTCAGCCTTATCTGCACGTTCTGTTTAGTGCACAAAGTACAAGCATTGGCACGGTCTCATGTTATCAAGGGTTGGGGTGAAGAGTAGCAGAGCCATTGGTGCAGCTACTGCATGTCTGCTTTCCTCGAGTGCGTATCACAAGGCCCATGGTCACGAACAGTGACCTCAGCCTGCAGAAGTTGCACAATATGGAGAAATCTCCTCTCATAACATCATGGGCGTTGGTTACTGATAATTTGCAGCTTTTTTTTTTTTTCTTTTTTTTCCATATATAGGTGCAGATTCTCCAATTTTGCAAATGACTTCATCGGTGTCAGCACTATTGGCAGCTGAGACGTTTGCGTGCCTAAACTCTGCAGGATGACTTCACGCATTGAACTCACCTGACTTAATAACATCCTGCCTAACAAACAGCGATGCACATGCCAATTGCCTACCTAACAGAGGTCTCTACAGGCCTGGGAAGTCAGCACCAAAGCTTCAGCAACCACATCGCCAGGGCTCATCGCCTGCATTTTCAAGGAAATGGCACAGCAAAGCAAAAGGACCCCTTTTCTTGGGATGTGGTAGAAGCGCAAGAAAAATGAACAAAATCACATGTTCAGATAAAGTTCCTTTTGACATGGTGGGAACTGTGGGTTCAAAATGAAAACAATAAACAAAGCAAGATGAGGAGAAAAATATAAAAAACAAGAGGCAGGCTTAAAATTTTAAAATAAAAGGAGCAAGGAGAAAAATAAATAACCCTAGAGCAAAACTGCAGGGGTAAGAAGAGAAAACAAATGAGACAAATAGCAGGAAAAGGGCCAGTAATGAAAGCTCAGATTACTTGATTCACTCAAGCCATTGCTTTTGCTGTTCAGGGCAGGGCGGGAAGCCAATCTGTTTTCTCTGGTATTGTTTAGGCTACAAATACCATGGCAGATTTCCCATCCACTCCAGTGTTTATGGCCATGCTCCACTCCTAACCACGAAAACATGTGCAGAGGAAACGTGTCCCGAGAAGAGTGAGGGCTGGAAGCGGGAGGATGATACACTTTGGAGCTGAATGACCTCAAAAAAGCACTTCTGCATTTTTCTGGCAATTTTGTAGAATAATGTCTCGTTCACAAAATTCTACAATGCAAGGATTTTCATCTTCAAAATGGGTACATTGATACCTCTGGGTTATTACAAGCTACCAGCCACAGAGGGCTGCCTGTATTTATACAACACTGCATTGTTTATAATATCCCTTTCAGAAGCAGGAAAATAAAAGTTCTTTCCTTAGCAGTTTGACTCCCTCCCCATCTCCCACTTGGAAAATATTGATTTCCCACCATCGCCTCTCCCAGCAGAGCTGCAGCCAACCTGGCTGCACTTGGTTTACTCCTCTAGGCCTGATCCTCACCTGGTGTCAAGCCACAATTACTCCTGAATAGCAGCTGCATGGATTTACACTGGTTGGGATCCGGCCTGGCCTCACAACATCAGCACACTTGTGGGACCTGAATAATGGCTGCTACAGGGCTGCAGGGGATGACAAATATTTGTGAAGGGACAAAATCATACAAACTGGTGGCCCCATGGGTTTCAGCTCTCGTGTACTAAAGATCTGGGGGAAGTTTATCACCATCAAACACCACAAATTTCAGGCTGATCAAATTTTGGGTGTAAACTATTTGAGAGTGCCATTTTAGCTGAAAAGCAGCAGGGGATTATAAGATTTTATAGTCCAGAACTAACAGCGTGGAATTTCAGCCCGTGTTACATTTTCACTGTCCTGAGCTGTTAAATCGTGAGCACGCTGGCAAGGCACCAAGACATTTCTGCAAGCCAAAAATAACAGAAGAGGCTTGAACCCCCCCCCCCCCCCCCCCCCCAGCCTCCCCACCAATAAAAGTACCAAGGACACACACATTCAAAAAGGGTTCTTTTAATTAGAAGCAATTTTGCAAAAGAAGAAGTAACTTTCTCATATAAAATAGTGGAGTGGTGAAGGTGAGGCTAACGAGAGGTGTGGAACAAAAATCCAGGGCAAATTCCCAAGGAGACACTGAAGTAAAAGCAACGGCCCAATAACCATAGTACACTAAAGGATAACTCTGAAACAGCCGGGTAAGGTGTTCCTACCCCTAAACTGACAGCAGATACCAAATCAGAGGACGGACTTCATCCAGAGAGCAGCAAAGCAACCGGCTGCCAAGCCACCCTAGCACCGTGTTCTTGCACCTTTCTGCTACCCGAGAGCTGCTGCAACATCCCCACAGATCACGCCACTGCCCCCATGCTCAGCGTCACCAACTGGGGAGTGCTATATGTCCTATGGGACACCACCAGCAGAAAGGTGGCACTTCCAGACATAGAGAATCGGACATACACCAGAGAACACTTTGACATAAAGTGCTGCAGTCCCATTCCAGTCTCTATATCCAGTGATTCAAGCCCCGAGAAAGTGCACAGTGATCAAACAGTAATCAACCGAAATAATGAATTTTGTGTCAAGTCTTGAGGCTCTGAAGCCATTTAAAATGGGCAGGTGGCAGCTCCGAGAAGATAAAAACTCTGAGTCAGTGCCCAAATCTCAAACCATAAAGGTACCTCGCCCCTTATTCAAACCCGTCCCACCTGTCCCACGTGACACTTGTGTGCTTATCAGTGCTGGCTCTACTAGAGTGGGTGGCAAGCTTTGCACCTCTACAAAGCCCACACCAACTTTATTTATCTGGGAGGGCTGGGGTTGAGATGTGAGGGAGAAGAAGAGGAACGTAGAAATATGAAGAAATTAAGGGACTTGTCAGGTGAAGCCGCTTAAGGCTCATGCCCAGCCCAACCTGTTCAGTCTCAGGGTTAACGTGCTCCTAATTGAAGGGTGGCTTTCCGTGAGAAGGAGGTTTTAATGGATTCTGTACAACCACATTGTCATGCATGTGGCTTCTGTGTACACGCAACAGCAACAAACCTCTCCCCACGTGACCTCCAGTAACACCAGGATGTCGTACGGACTCCACACACGCTGGCAAAAACCTATAAAAACAACCTAAGAAATGTGATTGAACTAGCAGGAACTCCAGGCTGAATGAAACTCCTTTACAATACAACCTGCCTGTCTAGCAACCGTTCTGTGACAGCTTTTCCTCTTCAAATATAATCCCTCGTTGCATGTGCCCTTTTGGCTACTACTGATAAAGGAAATTGCCAAAGACAGGGGGTTTGGGGATCGAGTTCTCTTCTGTCTCAGGTTTCTAGGGCTGCTGATTTCTAATGGCCCTGCCAAAAGTTCTTTCTTTTTAAAAATTTCCTGACAAATTCTCTCTCTAAAAAGATTTTTCCGAAATAGGTTGCCTTGTTTAGTCTGAAAATAGCATGTGGGAGAAGATAGCAGTGCTCTGTATGTATAAACAGCTCTCTCTCCTCCCTTTTTGGAGAGCAGATTGGATAATCTCTGGATGACCCAATGGATTTCTTGAGGGAAGCAATGACAAGGATAATAAATGTAACCCCACCTCACGACAGACATGGATATTTATTCTAAAATTTGCTAAAGCAGCTTCTGGCAGAGACCTGGGTATAAGCAGGAGAAATGAGATCTTGGCCCATCTGCAAAGCATCACTGCTTTTAGCACTCCAAATGATGAGGAAAAAAAAATCTTTTGGGTAATGGATTAGTTTCCTTTTCTCCTTTTCTTCTCCAGTAATACCAACTGCCTCCAAACTGGGGTCACTGGCCACAGCGTGATTCCTTTAGTACGTGCTGCTGAACTCCTTTGCCTTGCAGGTTGCCTCCACTCCCTGCTTTCCTTCCAAAGCAGTTTCCAGCTGGTGACTCCCAGGGTGGGGAAGGAGAGGCTGTCACTGACTGAAGTAGGAGAGTGCCCCCTCCTGTCCCTTCCCACCACTGCCCCATGCACCCCAGCAGCACCAGCCTTGCGCCAACCTCAGAGCACTGAGATGGGAATGGAAAATACCCCAGCTGAGGCAGCAGGCTCTGGCTGGGGACACTCCATGTGCGAGATGGAGTTTTGGAGGACAAAAAGGCTCCATTGGCGGTGGCTTGGAACAATACCAGGGGCTGTGGGAGGCTCCTTTGCTCCACATGCACTTGTGCACATGGTTTGTAATAGCACCGAGGCAATCCTCAGTCCCGCGGGGAGGGCTGCGAGCATCGCTGACTGATGGCTGGTGTCAGCTCAGCCCTGGGAGGGGGGCGAAGGCTTGGGCACTCTTTTCCTGCAGGGAATGGGATATTTCCATGGCTATTGCATGAAAAATGAGCTCCTGTTAAACTGTTCCCTAAAATGTCTCCCTTGGTCATTTCATAGCACTGTTTTTATTTTTTAATAACAGTCACCCAGAGACCTGAGAAACAAGGCAAAGTAAATAAATAAATACAGATAAAATATCCTAACAAAGAGTTTTCCATAGAAGCCTTCATTTTTCAAGACTGTTCTAAATAGAAAAAAGGAAACAGAAGTAGATTTGATGGGTGAAGTTATTGTAACATGACAGCTAATGTTTAAAAGTTATATTTCAAAGCTGTAATTCCCAAAGATTACAGCTATGAAAGAGAGCTTTTCTTGCTAACTGATGGAGTGTTTCCTTCTAGATAGAACAATTTACCTGATATTAGAGGTAAATAAAACCTACCTATTCATCATATTTTGCAAGTGCAGCATATGAATAGGAAGGCACAGGCATCATGCATGTAGCTATACACATCCTGGGCAGGAGAACGTATATCCTCCTCTCATCTTAGGAGTGAGCAGGGTAGTGCACGTCCATGATTAGTGAATGCCTATGTAAAATAAACCCACAGGTAAGAAAAGCCAACTCCTAAACAAAACAAAACCAGGAGTGATAATAGCCTGGAATGGAACAGAAATGGCTTTGTTCAGATCAACGGGTCCTAAAGGAATCCAATCTAACCTTTTCATTTGGTGGCAGTCAGAAGAAAAGGGCCATACAGCCATGTCAGCAGGCCCACAGCAAGCACAAGCACTTTTGTTGCAGATGGCACTGAAAAAAAAAGGGATTGTTTATTCTCCTCACTTTGTACAGACTGTACTGCTCCCCATGTTTTCCTTCAGTCAAACTGTGGCCACAAAGTCCTTTTTCTTTATTCCCCGTGGTTTCCTTGCCCTTTTCTCAATGTGATATCAGAACAGTCCTAAGGAGTAACTTCACCTTATATCAATTCAGATCTGACAATATTCAGGAGGTATGGAGCTACTCACACAACGCTATCCTTTGGAGCAATGTCTTCAACATTTGATCTACTTTATTCTAAACTAGATATTTAGGTCCCTTAGTGATCCTTGGAAGGTTCCTCCCATGGCACTACCTCTGTTGGAGTTAAGCCCCATTAAAATTCCAACATCAACGGCATTGTTGTGTCCCATGTATATATAACAAGAAGTTCAAAATATGTAATCTGATGCAGAAAATAACAAGAAAGAAAGAAAACAAATCAGAAAGTCACATCGATAATTTTGCCTAAGAAACAAACAAAAAATAATCAGACTGAACAATTTTTTGTTCAGTTCAGTAATTAAAGCAAAGTCCATATGGCTTAAGAGAACAGTCAAAGTGCACAGAAGGCAGCAGGGTTTTTTTGTTTGTTTTGCATTCCTCTCCACATCATCCTCTTTGGAGCCTCTTCTCCATCCCACACACATCCTACCCAGGTGCAGAGAAGGGGGTGCCTCACAAGG